TAAATTCATAGCAATAAAAAAAAAAGGAAGTTTCACTGCAAAACATAATATACAAGTCAATAAATCACAGGGAGAAATTTGATAACACAGGCTTTAAACCAGAATGAATATTTTAACACTTTTACATATAAACGTGAACAATAATTTGTAAACTTGATTAAAAACAAATTCGTTTGTTATATATCAATTTAGAGATCGTAATCTCAGTTTTGTATATACATGATTCATAATTTATGTCGTAGTCATTCTTTCAATCTCAAGTATAAAATATCTATGCAATATTTCTTTTTGTAAATCGCGTCACCTACCGCATCTGTCTCTCAATGATCGTTATAAATGTAAATGAATACTTCATTGGAAAAAGAAGAGTTTTCTAGACTAGCATAACGTATTAAATACATGTGTTTACAATGATTTGAGGATTAATACCTCGTAACTTCGAACAAATGAATGACAGCGAATAGTAATCACATCAAGTCAAGAGCAAGAGTTTTGCACGCAGATTTATACGTTCTTGAAGTGCGCTAGCCAATTCACGTGTTAGTTCTTCGCAAACTAAGCGTAGTTCCGCATTCTTTTCCCTTAATTCTTGTAAGGTTAATTTCTTTTCATCCTCTGCTTCGTTTTTATTCTCTTCCTCGCCACCATCTCGTTCTGTTAAAAGATCATATTTTAATTATTCAGCATAATTATAGAAAATAAAGACACGATCAAAAAAATAGTTTGAAGCATCTATTTTAAAAGTATCTTTAATATTTAAGAAAAAATCAAATTTAAATTTATAAATATATATTATTAATTGCATAAAATAAAGAAGAAATATGTTAAAGTTAAACTGTAACTACAAGTACAAAGAAAATGTTAAATGTTGAGAGATTAAATAATGAGATAATTTCTTACTTGGACTCGGTTTTCTATAAATATGAAATGCTCCACAGACTCCAGTGAATTGTTGAGATTGTGGTACTGTGTTTTCTATAGATGATAACGTATTTTCAGGTAATTCATTCTTAGGAGAAAAATGAGAGAAGTCAGCGACAAAAGCCTGACTTTCGCTTAACGTTCTTTGTCCTTCACCTTCGCTCCTTTGGCCGACTAATTTACGAGGCGAAGTCTGCAGCAAAAACGAATTGTTATAGTCCTTCATATAAAAAAATATGTAAAAAAAATTGACATTTTTTACAAGATATGTAGAATGAAATATTTCGTCTTTCAAAAAGATATAAGAAAATTTTCGTATGTAAGAAACTTACAATTCCTGGAGAGATTCTAGGTGGTACAAGCGGCGGTGCTCCAAGAAAACTTTGACCATTTTTTCCTATAAAAAATATGCAAGTTTATAGCATAAGACTTCAATTTTGTAATTGCAGTATCGTGAAGTATATCGATAATGAATATGTACCTAATTTATTAAGATCGAGACTAGAACTGCGCGCATGTGTTCTGTACGGTCTAGGTGGTGGTGGAGGTGGTGGTTCCTTTTTAGGAGTCACGATAACAGCGTCTTCTGGAGCCGCAGATGGTTTCTTTGCGAGAGGTCGTTGCACTAACGACGCTGCAGAATGTTGCAGATCGTCGTCCCCTAAGGTTGTGCAACTGCTACTGCTGCCGTTAGCACCTGAAGCGAGAATCGCTGCTTCAGGCGTTAAGCGCAGCGGTACTGGATGTAAGATCTTTGGGTCGCGTTCGACGGCTGACTTTTGAAAATCGAAATTCACCAGCTGCAATCCTGGACTAGTGACTGAGGAACTGCTCGCTCCAGTCGGCGAATCCACGAACTTCGTCCATTCTCTATTCTTCTCGCGAGCGTTCGCGGAGTTCGGTGATGATTTTTGAGCAGTTGTCGCCGGTGGGATTTGCGGCGCGGCAGTTGTTGCTGTTTGCATGACTAACAGAATCGACAAGGACGGAGGTAAAACGTCGGGCAGAGGAACATGGTTCCTCCTTAGTACGACGAGATGCATAGCCACGTAAAATTCTTGTAAACTGAGTGCCCCGTCCCTCGTGACATCTGCGAGCTGCCAAATACGTCGTAACTCGGAAACGGGGAGTCGTGATTTTTCGAAAAATGTTCTGGCTACAGGCCCGGCCAGAAGACCCTCCGGATCAGGCTGCAGCTGCGCGAATTGCGCAGCGTAATAATCACGCTGCTCATCGCTAATAATCCATACTTCCTCTGGAGGGAAACCGGAGCCATCACCTTCTCCATCACCTTCGTCGCTGCTGTGACGCTCCGAGCTCTCCTCTTCAGTGCCTAACAGTTGTCTCTGCTCTTCGGAAACTAATAAGCCTTGCCAACCTCCAGAAACAGAATCCAGAATTGTCTCGCCACCCAACATACCGTCATTTCTCTCTTGAGTCACGCTGTTCGTCGGTGTAGGAGAATCTGTGCTGCCACCAGTCTCACGTGGGGACTCTGCTTCGCTTTCACTCTCGGTAGTGCTCTCGGGAGCATGATGTCTACTTTTTGCTCCTCTAGTTATGTCTGGACTTCTTCTGCCTTCCTCGTCACCAGAGGTTGGCCACGTAAATCTTGGCAAAGTAATAACATCCAAAGATGCAGTTATCATATCTCTGGAGATCTCCAGACCAGCTTGATGGACCGCAATAAGTTTCAGCACTGCATAGAATTGCTTCTTGCCAAGATGTGTGTTACCTTTAGTTCCCACGCAGATGTCCAATATCTACAAATAGAAAAAATATATATATTCAATGTTAACAAATATATATAGTCATACACAACCGAGTTTTTACGAAATGCTTTATCTTTATTTTTTGTTTATCTTCTCTTCTGACAATTGTCTAATGACAACGATAGCAGTCTGCCTTTCATAAAAACTTAACGTACATTACAGGTACACATAATCCTTACAGGATGTCAAGAACATAGAGACACATCTGGACATCCTTAGAACATCCCTTAGAGGTTTGTGCGAAAGAATACGAAAAGAATCCTCGCGAAGCTCAAGCCAGCTATGAATAATCATGGAAAGCAAAAGAAACGACTCGATATTTTTCATCGACGAATTAATCGGTTCCGCTGCTGCGACATAACCTCCACAGGCGGACCCTAATGTTTCGTTTGTCCCACCTGCACATGTATCACCTGGAAGCTCTGGGACACCGAGACGAAGTCTGTCACGGCTCAACGTCGATGTGTCAAGGAAACGTCAAATGTCAGGAACGCACTTCCACCGCGCCACCGAAAGCTCACCTTCATCGTGACGTCCCGCGGCAGGTTGGCCGAGCGCAACAACTCGGCGACTTTGATGACGGGAACGCTGTCGCTGTCCGCGTTTTCGCAGCAGTAGATGAATATGTCGCCGTAGTAACGGTGCTCGGTTGCAGTCAGATGCAGACTCGCCATCGTCAGTAACTCCCAATCCATTGTTGACAGGTTGGCGCGTTCGCGCGGCCGAGAACGGTGCTCGTCCCCGGGCCTCGTCCGTCCCCCGGCTGCCGCGCGTCGTCCCGGAGCAGGCCGCTCTCCTCTTCTCCCACGGCGCTCACTCGCGTACCTGCTTCACGCTCTGCTTCTCGGCGATCCGCAGCGGTCGCATCCGCATCTCTCTCGCGGTTTTCCGCCGAAGAACGCGAGAAATGTCGTTTGCTAGCCGCTACGCCTGCAACTCCGTTTACGATGATTATCGCTATCTCCGGCTGGCTGCGGCTGGCGCGCGATCGTGATGTTTGACGTTACCATAATCCGTGTCGACTAACACTCGCCCCCCATAAAGAAGTGTCAACTTCTCAGCGGTGATGCGTGCATATAGTAACTTTGTATTTGTCGTAGATACATATACATTTATATGGAGTGATAAAAAAAAAAAGCTTAACCACGAAGTTTTGTGTTTAATAAAACATTAATATATTTACAAAAAAAACTCGGGATGGTTAATTAAATCTTATTAAACAAAAGCAAAAGTAATTAATTAACGTTCAAAATAGCTACCTTCTGTGATATTTAAGTAGGCCTTTCGGAAATACATCACAATAATGCTCGCGCATCTTTCCATGGATAAATTCTCTCAGATAGTTAATAAAGCGATGTTCACTATAAACTGTAACCGATGAAAATGTTTTAATGCAGAGACTTTTTGGTTGCTTTCTTTTTAGAAGACACTGTTGACACAAAATGTTCTGTACGATGGAAGCAGTCTTAATATAAGATAATGTAGCTTCCAGAGTTAGTTTTGAATGTTTGTGTTTTTAAATATCAAGAATACGGAACAACGAAAACAACCCTATTAAGATAATGGAGCTGTAATACTCCAGAGTTTTTTCTTTTTTTTTATATACATTACTATACACTATAGATTACTGTATTACTACCCACGTAATAAGCTGACTTTTATTTGTCGTTATTTTAACATGAAAATGATGGCAATGACGCTGTAGCTTGCTACTTGAGTAATAATTTGATAAATACAAAACTTTGTGGCCAAACTTTCTTAATTGTCACCCTGTACATATCATTGTCAATATAAAAATGCAAATACAAGTAAAAAAATTAGCATTTTTGAGATAATTAAAAAAAAAATGACTCTAAAATAAGTTTCTAATCAGTTTCTCTGTATGTGTCAATCCATATCTGTTCAGCTTCATTACTTGAATTTCGAGTCTCGAAAACGAACTGCTATGCGCTTCGTGATGTAAAATCAGTATAATACTTTCAATGTTTTGCTTAATATCTGTATAATACTTTCATTAATTTTACTTACACACTAGATTGCAAACAGAAGACTTAGAACAATAATATTAATTCAGACTAGTCAGCGAAATATATATTTTACGATTCATATTACTCTGATCTAACGATATAACTGATTTAACTTCGATGCTGAATAACACGAGCATCGAAGTTAAAAGATCGAATTGTTTTATAAGTAAAGCCGTAACTATGAACGTGGAAATTACATTATATCGTTGATACTTTGCTATTGCACGCTACTTTCGTTTTCATATAAAAATAAATTCGATACTGTCCGATGATTGTTCGCATTTAATACAGTTTTTCTTTCTTTACTAAAACATATCGTTACGAAATTGAGATTATTGTCAGCAGACAGAACACACGCGCATTTTCCATAGTTAATAAAATTATTCGGAGACAGAAAAATTCAACGAGTAGTTTATAGCCACCGGACAGCGATTCCGATATTCGAGAATGGAAAAAAGAAAACACCTACATCATTAACCGTACAAAATGATTCGTGACTAGAAGTTCTTATGCACAATGTTCCGTAAAGAACGTTACTTTCGCTAATAGCTTTGTTGCAATAATTTAATTTAGAGTTTTTATTTCGACGAGAAGCAACAGTCAGTAGAGCGAAGAATCCTCCGCGATGATCGATATATTTTTCTTCGTGCTATCGTAGCGTCCGGCGATCAATTTCTGTCCAGATGTCTTAAATCGCAGTTGCATAGATGAATCTTCTCCCGGACTGTTGGTAATACTGTCAAATTCCAAATTGCCGAAATGTTCTTCGACTAAATCCTCCAATTTCTTTGAGAGCACCTCAATCTTTTTCGTTCGTTCATCATCATGCTGCAAAAAGAACGTTCATTTTCTGAGACCCTCTAAAAGCTCTAAATTCTATTCTATAATGTATTCTTTATTTCCTGTTTCTTGCTTTATTACCTCTTTACAACCGTTTTATTGATAGTTATATTTCTTGTTTCTTCCGAAGTTCATTAACTTTTATCTCAAGCGAAACACGAGATAAGAAGCAAACAGATAAGATGTAAAAAATAGCAGAAAACGAGAAACAGGAAACAAAAAGCACATTGTAGATTTGTAGAATAATTTAATTGAAATTTATGCGAATTAAACAAAATCAAGAAAAAAGTTCGCCTTTAGATACTCAATTTCTTTTAAAAAATTTAACTGTTAAATTCAATTTTTAGTTTTGAAAATTAAATGATGCAATTTCACGCATCGGTTTATCGTATCATACGATTTTTATATAATTGAACATTATTATCTCTTATTATGTGATTTTTATATTATATTATTATAAATAAGGAAATAAATGAGACACAAAAAAATTGTCTGTTATATTTACTACAAACCTGATGATGTAATTTCGCGTTGTTAATAATGCGACGGAAATCTTGTACAGCGTGTTCGACTTTATGGTAAATTCGATTCTTCAACTTGTACTCGATAATCTCGAGAAACATCGGGCTCTTAAGGATGTTGCAGTGATCTTCCATCTGAAAATTAAAAAAAAATTTTTTTTTAAATATTATATGTATACATATTTATATGTACATGTATATTGCTTTTTGTCTTCTTTTATTTTTAAACTAACTATTAATGCGGATAAAGACTGGCCGTCGTCCTTGTTGTCATACGAGAGTGTATATTTGATAATCTTCGCCTCGTCCATCTGCCAGATAGTTCGATGAATCGTTTCTAATTTATTGAATATCAAAGGACTGAGGCTCTGTTTTCTTTTGGAACTGCACCACACTGTCCAGCCACGATCACCCGATTTCTTGCCTTCCAAATGTTCCAAGTTCTTCTTCTTCCCATGATTCGTTTTCATGATAGTTGACATATTGTTTACCCTGACAGCATTGACTTTCATGCACGATCCCTCCTCCAGTTGCAGATCGTTGCTATCCGCATTTTTCATTCTTTTCTTGTCGGCTGATTTTCGTGATTTGTATAAAAGTTGATAGGATTGTACGGGGTCTTTCCTCTGACACTTGCGGCCAGGAATTGGTATTACGGTGGTTACCATTGAATTGGTCGCGCACGACTTGAGCGGCTCTTTCTTTTCAAGGTGCAGGTTGTTTGTTTTCATGGATCTTCGTACTGTTTCAGAATACGTGGCTCTTCCAACGTGACTTTCCAATTCTTTTGTCGACGTTTTGTCGTTCTTCGCGAAAGAAGTAGAAACATGCTCACAAGAGAAGATCGCTGGATATTCGCTATCGACGATTGTCGCACGAGTCTTTATCTCTGCTTGAGCGGTTAACGACGATGCGAGCTGATACGGTTTTACGTCAATTTCCGAGCTATTCGAAGACTCTGAACTTTGTCGATCTACGTCGTCCTTCTGTCGCTTCTGCTTGCCGATGATGCTCGCGTTATTGAGAGTCCTGATCAGCCAGGAATCCGTTTTCACGTTGGTCTTGATACCGAGAGCTGTTGAACATGCTTTTTAGAAAAGGATTGTTTTGCTTATTATTAGGTACCACCTGCAAAAAGATCGCGAGACATTTTTAAGTAGTTTCGATAATCCGAGTAACGGAATACACGTGAAATCCGTGAGGAAGTTTATTATTTTAATATAACATGCTCTTACTTTTTATTCTAATAAAATAGTGTTAATTAGTTCTTTCATTGGCGAAAACTTTTCTCAAAATTTTTATACGAATTGGAACTTTTTTTTAAAGAAGTCTACAGGTTTTCTTTAAATTTTTCATATATGTGAAATCTAAAATATATATAGAACATTGTTTTTTATCAAAATATGAAGAATTCTAGATAAGATGTGTAGATTTTGTCAGCACTTCTATAAAAAGTTCCAATTTATATAAAAAAAAAGCTAGGAAATGTTCTAAAAATTTATAAAAACATTCCAAAATTTGGAAATTTAAATAATTTGAAAAATGAAAAATTCTGAGAAAAAATTTCACTAGAATTATCTAAAAAACATATTAATAAAAAATCTTGTATATATACATATATGATATTTTATAAAGTCCTTTACCATTCTCATCCTCGCGCGATTGAGACACCGATATTACACTCATGCTAGGCGATAGTCTGCACGTGGATTCTGAATCATCCTCTGATGCTTCATAGGACGACGCACAGTCAGCGGTATCATGCATCAATGATTTCGGATCGCTCTTCTGGGATACGATTGTTAATGTTTCAGCAGGATCTTCGTTCTTATCTTCCTTCTCGCTGTTACTATCGACGTTGCAATCGACGTTTTTAGACATATTACCACAGTCCTTTACGTTAAGGGCTTCAAGAAGTATCTCAGCCGAGGCACACGCCGCTTTCCAGGTGACATCCTGACGAGTGTCCTGCGACAGAGATTCTGTGCGTTTTAAGATCCTAGGTGAACTCTCAAGCTTGAAGAGAGGCACGGGTAATTGCGAAGCTGGCGGGAACGAAGTCTTGATCAGCGTGGTATTGCCGATGTTGGTGGACAAGGTTGTCACGTTCGCATGAGATAGAGGCGTCGATGATGCTGGTATCGGTACACTCTTTCCATTATTACCGCATACGTTGTGATGACTGCTCGCGTGTACGTTGCGAGATGCGCTGTTGCTCGATCGACGATTGGGTTTTCTCTGATGTCTCTTCTTCGGTACGTTGTAGCTGCCCGGTTTCATGTACACACGCACGTCTTCAGAACTGTCGTACTCTTCGGGCGCTTGTTGCACGTGGAAACGATTGTCGATGAAGTTGCTAGCGGCCCAAGGTGTGCTCTGGATATTCGGCAGATTTTGCAACGCCTGGAACTGCCGGTTCGCGTCAAACTGCGGTTGCTTGGCTATAATCATCGAGTACTTGGGCATCTCTTGAACGAATAATCGCGGCGCCGAGCTCGTCCTTGGCTCCTCGAAGGTCGAGGCGGTCGCTGGAGGCTGTGCGTTTCGCATGCTGGCGAACCAGGCCGACAAGTTGGCTGCCATTTCCTCGGACTCCTTATCGAATGTCCGTGGCTCGATCTGACTGAGCAGGGTCACCTTATTTCTAGGCACGGCTGGGAGTTCTAGTTGCTCAGTTTGCGATTTCACATAAACTGGATTGACATTCGCGGTTTTAACTCCATAAATCTGCTCGGTGTTACTGTTGCTTTTCGAATTGATATCGGTACTAGGATAAGGCCCCAAAGAGGGATAACTGACTCTATACGTTGGAATTCCCGTGTTGGGAGTAGAATACGAAGAATCTGAATGGCCAGATAAAGGAAACGTGAAGGATAAACAATTCCGCGCATACAGTCCGCTGTAGCTTATAGGAGTATTTGACGCTGGATGTTGTAGTCGGATGGATTCGGTATTATCGAGCAATGTCGTAAGCTTATCTTCCGGCGTGTAATCCTGTCGTTTATCCTTCGTTGCGTCCGCGCTGCTTTCCATTACTTTGTTTTTCAGCTGGCAGAATTCGGCGTTCAGCGATTTCCGAGTGAAGTCAAATTTCTTGGAAGATGATGCATTTTTGGTGCGAAGTTTATGACTTCCGAGACTGTCGGAGGGACACACCGAGACGTTCGGCATGGATTTTGTGCTGTTAATCATGGACGATAAATTCTCCGTAATCGTCCACTTGCTCCGTAATTTACTTTCTTTAAGATTCATCGATTGTTGTTCCTGCTGACAGTTGGAGTTATATTGAATATTACGCAGACTGCTGGTTGGTAACGATGCCGATATCGCGCTGCACGGTTTTTCTAACGAAGAAGATTTTTCAAGACGTTGTTGAGAAAGAGAATTCGAAGGCAACGGAACGAAAAGATTGTAGGTCGTATAAAGCGACACGTCGCCTGGAAATGACGATGTCACATTGCGTTTCTGGTCCATCATCTCTTTGTTTTCTCCAAACTTCTGGAAGGTTCGCACTATTTGCTTCAGTAATTCGCACGTGCTCTCTTCCCACGTTTGAAAGCACGCAATCAACTCAGGATCCAATCTGTCCAATAAATTGGGAAAATGCTGTTTGTTCAGATAGTTATCAAGGCTCAGCCATCCATTGCTAATGCGTAGAAGAGCGTTTATGAGATCGTCGGCAAAAACTCGATCCCCCGCAAAGACCGGGATGCATGTCGAGGATTTTGTGATTGCCGTTCTGGTGGCAGATGACAGACAAGTTAACCAGGTCCGTTTGAAATCCGTTTGCGAATCTTCCGACTCGAGAACACTTTCAGCCAGTGTGCATCCCCAGTAAGCCGTTTTTCGAATCAGCTCTGGATACTGCGATCTGTCCACGCTCGGATCGTCCGTTTGAACGCCTATTGACATTTTGTTTTCGTACTCGGAGCAGAAATCTATAAACCAGTTTGTCTTGTTAGACATATTGTCGCCTGCACCATTGAACAACGTAGAATCAATCTTGTTGCCAGGCCTCGTTTCCTCCTTGCCTAAATCGTTCGAAGACGTCGTGTTACACAGAGCGGAGACCATTTTCTCGGCTTCAATAGTAAAGTCAAAGCTATTCGAAGACTCGTCAGAGTAATGTTCCTCATCTGTCTTCGCGACGACAGAGAGAGATTTCTGCAAAGCACACTCGGTGGACTCGAGGCTCCTGTTATTTCCCGTGACAGTTTGCGCGTCATTCTTAGAAAACGTCTCAGTCTGGGAAGGCCAGCCATTCTCGTTCTGACCGGTTGGAACGACTTGAGACTCGCAGGCGCTCGATGTGTCCGCGTTATGCTTAAACGGTGTGAAATCTAATGTGGACGAAGGCTTGTCTCCTCTTGGTGGTGCAAGCATTAAACCAACAGGCGGATTCGAGAAGAGTGGAGATGACTGCACCGTTACTGGAAATTGATTATTGTTGAAGCTACCACCTAGGCTGGTGTAAGGATTGAGGCTGGCAAGCGGGAAAGTCGACGAGTTGGCGTTGACAGTTTGCAGACTACAAGTATTTGTGGCCGAGATATTATAATAGGAATTCTGCATCGGGTGCTGTTGCTGTTGCTGAATGTTCTGTCGATCTTGGACGAGACAGAGGGTCTGCATATCGGGCGGCTTAAAATTGAAGGGCTGCGGTAACAGATGCGTCACTCCAGAATTGTTACTGTAATGCTCGTTGTGCAATGGTCCAGCATGGGTAAACGTGGATGATGCTACTAGAAAGGATGTGGTCGACGGAGGGATTGATGCAACGCTGGTGGGCGGCTGGTCGAAAAGTACTACAGGTTTTGGATTGTACGAGAGTTGCTGTTGCTGTGGCTGCTGTTGACAGTACTGTTGACCGAGAGACGGTTTGTTCTTGGCGTGCCATCGGTTGCTTTTACCTGTATTCGCACGGAATATTTTAATTATTACTTTCGCGATTTACATAACGGTGTTAAAGTATGCAATGTTTTTATTATTTTTCACACCGTTTTATATTTTATTGAAAGACTATTTTATTAAACAGAGTCGCGAAGAATGGAGAAAGGAAAAAGGAACTGATTTATTCGAACAAGATTAATTCGAACTACAGTCTATTTTTCAGACCTTGAAGTTGTAAATGGGTGGAATTCGGTGAAATAATGTGAGACTGAACGGTTGGATAAACGCATGAAGGATGGAGTGCTGTTCCGCATGGTTGAAGAGTCACCATTGGACTACTGACGGGAGCATATAGAATTTGCTGTTGCTGCTGCTGTTGATGATGATAAGTAGACGACGTTGTCGATGGGCTTGGGATCGAGGATGACTTGAGGTGATGTACGGACGATCGATTTGAACGCGCGGCCGTCGAGCGCATGATCCGCTTGGTCCTTAAACCAAAATTGAATCCTCCACCGTCTCTGAGCCAACGTTAGCAGCTTCTATTAGACGACAGAATCTGTCATGTTATCGGTATCGCAATGTAATTACCCCGGGATATTTATTGAATTATTCAAACTTAGAAGCAATTGGTTACGTTCTTCGCATTCACACGTCAAATTACATCACTTCATTATATTAACTTCGCATTGATAATTGTATTATACTTAACTTTATGAAAAAATAATTATTTACTTGAATAAGACCATAACGCAGTTATGATAATATATATTGCCACCAAAATGCATCACATTAAATGTAATAAAGTTAAGATAATGATAATTAAAAAATCCTTACATATATATTTTTTGAACTCATAGTGATAGTCGTTTATCTAATCGAGATGAACATAGCCGCTGTACCAGCTGTTGATTGAAGCTCATTTAACTTCTTACAGAGAATTTTACAAATTTATAAAAAAATTATTTTTATTCCACAATGTTTTAAATAAGCAAATAGTTAATTATAAATAATACTCTATCTAATACTATTTTAGTAATATCGATTCTCGATAACAGTAGTATACTAGAAGATATATTAGATAATTATTATAAATAATCGAAACATTTTAAATAAAAATTTTTTGTTATTTAAAAAAGATGAACTGTAATATGAATCAAGAATAAATGTTATAATTTAATATTGTTAATATTGTAACGTTTTATCATTACGTAAATAGTAGGATAAGCATGCAATGTCTTACTAGAAAGGTACAAAACAGACTAACAGATGGCTCTTCCAGGTAAAATTTTGTGCAATTCTAAAAAGCGATCGAAAATTCTGAAAAAAACAATCGCGATATGCATAAATACTACCGTATTGTATGTACATACAAGAATCACGAAATAAAAATTAGAAAATGTATACAATTTATATAAATACGATTTATTAAAAAAATATATATATAAATAGCATGTTAAATGTTTAATAGAATTTCTTATAAAATAGAATATAAAAAACTTTTAATTTAGAGATTTTTTACTTTGCTTCTTTGGTATTTCTTCGTCGTCACTTACATCCGAATTTTTTGCAATTTCTATCGCAAACACTGACTTGCCAAATAGTCGCTTTTCTGAAATACATAAAATAATAAATGTTTTTGATTCAGTTTCGTGTAGACTTGATAAATGACTTTACATACAATGACTTACTTGCTTTTAAAAGAAGAAGTTGACATTCGTTTAATATAACTGATTTTATTTTATCTCGTCTCAAACCCAACACAAATCCACTATGCGTCATAATAAAAATTGAATAATTATGGATAATATAATATACGCAATGCTTTTATGCATAATTTCGTCAAAGAATTTTTTATATAAAGTTCACTATATTATACTTATATTATATTATATTATATCAAAGGATACAGATTTACAATATCGTAAGGATTCCTGATTAAATTCCTATTGTTTGCACCACTAGATATGATTATATTCTACACATAAAAATAGACTGACTTAATGTATTGATAAAAAGCATATTTAAACTGTATTATTTACAACAGCAATGAAATATAAAAATTGACTTAAATAAGAATTTACTATCTATATGTATCTAATACATATTTTAATATATACATACCATGCTTACACGGCACATTTGTAATTTATAAGAACGATGAAGAGCCGCTACACGTGTTTCTGGTCTTAAAAGATCTACGTACTGTATTTCAAAATAGAGATCTCTTGCTACAGCCTGCCGATATATTTTTTGATTTATTTTTATGCCAGAAATTTCTGGTTTTATCGTAATGAGATCTGCTTTTAAGGTTTGACAAGCAAACTAGAAGAAAAATAAAGACGAGATAAGTGTATTACAGAAATTAAAAATATTGAACATTATAATTACAATTTACAAAAGTTCAATATAAAGTTCAACCAACCTCCAACATATCTTGCTTAGTTGGGGAAAGAGCATATATATCATATTTTTTCAAATTTGGACATTGTTCCTATGATAACAAAATTATATTTAATACAATACACTTTATTATTATACTCCAGTAGAGAGATAAACCTTCTATTTTGAAAATCATGTAATATAGTTTCTTATGAGAAATGTAAAATTAATGGATTTTAAGATTTCAGGATAATACATTTTATTTTCCTTTTTCAGAATAAAGTTTTTAAAATAGCTTATACAAGGAACTGTAGTCATCTATCTACTTAACTTATAATGTATTAATATTTTATTTAAACTGTCAAAATTTGAATTACTCTTTCAAAATAAATGTGGTTTCACAATATAAATTTAAAGTATACCAATGTGTGCACTTTCACTGAATTTGAACAAATAAATGTTAGCCTATTAAGTATATTCAGTTTTCCTTTCCATTTTTCATTCAGTTTTGAAACATCAATTGGGTCAGGTACCACATTTGTTACTTGTTTAGTCTCATCCTTCTTTTTCTTATTATTATCCATGGCACTCTCATTTACAATTTGATTTAATGCCACTGTTCTATAACCCACTAAAGCCAAATAAATTCATAAGGTAACGAAAACACATTTAATTCCTTTCTATCATTTACTTTCACACTTAACTTACTTTCATATAACCTCAATAAGATATCGTTCAAATTATCCATCCCTCCATCTGGTATATTTACACACAAGTCGAAAAAGCCTTCATTTAATTTAAAGGATTCCATATTTTCATAAAATCTATCAATCTCTCTGCTACAAGTAATGGCTAAACAAGCGTGATGAGCAGAAGAAAATCGAGTATCGTAATAATAAGTAGATTTCAATGTTACAAAGAATTTTTATAGTACAATGCAAGAAATTCAATGAATATATTTTTATAGAAGCATTCAAAGAACACTACATGTGTTACACGTGTTGCAAACTTCTCCTTATTGTGTGTTGTATCTTACGTCTTTCTGCAATCGATATTCGCCAATCACTCCGACAAGTAAAATCTCAACTAGTCAGCTGTTCGCATTCGCAGCTGTGTGGATTTCCGCCATATTGCTGAATCATCAGGCACATGCGTGCGTTGATCAATGCTGACCAAACGCGCGCGATTTAGATTTTATTGTAGTTCAAAAATAGAAAACATTCGAAGAACGGAAATTTCCTTAAAAAGTCTAACTACAAAATAAATTTATGTGCAAAAATGGAATACGAGAAAGATTATAGAGAAACGACGGTGAAGTTATTAAGATGTCATACATATATAGTATATATATATATATATATATATATATATATATAACGCAGCAGGAATTAACGCAACATCACGCAAATAATTGATTTAACAAAACTACCTTTTATTCCCGATATTCTGAATGATTATTAATCGGAAGTGTATTGTTAGTTACAGCATATTTTGGGAAAAAATAAGTCTTTGTTTCGTTTATATGCGAATTGTCGAAATATGAATCCTTCATTATCATATCTTTGATGGAAGGTCGGATGCGTCATTTTCAATAAAGAATAATTTATATAAAGAATATATGTATAATTTTGCATATAATATAAAGAATAATAAATTTCCATGTATACTTGAATTTATTTTGAGAACTACATAAAGACCGAGTTCAAATTCCAATTTGATATACAATCCATTTTAATACAAAAGAAGTTATTTATTATCATTAACGTTAGATAATTTGACGATTAAACTTGAAGAATTAGAATAAAATTTATTCTCTAAATTATGCAAAAGTAAGATGTTATTGATTTTTTAAATTTCAATTCTAATTTAAAAAGAAAGAAGAAATTTCATTATAACCGAACTTTAAAATTGAAAATATTATTTCGTTCAGATTGTACTATGTTTAATATTGTCATATATATATTACCCTATTTATAGGCGCACAAGGGATATTCGTTACGTGCGTCCAAACAAGCAGATATTTTACAAACGCGGATACGGTTACGAAGATCTATATGTTATCAGAGTGGTCGAATAACGATGGAATCCCCGGTGTAACCGGGAAAGGTGATTCGATCTTTTATCGAGTTCCGTGGACACGATTCATGTGCGAATGGAAACAACTGGGCTATTACGCCGACCCTGAGGCTGACTGTCAAGTATATCACATCTGCCAACGCGGCGGCCATAAAGACTCATTCCTTTGTCCGAACGGTACGTTATTTAATCAGGAGAGAGACTGGTCTGCACGTGGTGGTACACCGTGGATTGCTCCCGCGCGCAAAGTTTCTACTCCATTAACGAGGCGATTGCAAAAGCAATGAAGGAAGCTGATAGGTGAGCACGTATTACGTAACGAATTGTTCAAAATACATACCGTATACCGTGCGTTTATATTCGCATATGATTACATAATCAGCATCTCCTTATCTCCCATGATTTAAGCACAAAAATGTTACAGCAATATTTTAACATTCCCGCTGAATTATCTCACAATAAAATGGAGCAATAAATAAGTCATGCGTCCCGTTAATTATAAAATAGACACGCTTATACTTTCATTTGCACAGGAAAGCAATCAGACTCCTCTGCTTTCAGTTTTCACCGTTGCGATTAAGTGGCGTCTAAAAATCCGATGGATGTAACATCAGTACGATAATACCGTGTTGATGTAAAATTTTTTTACACTTACGCAAATACATTAATTTTACTTTCTCCGTGTTTAAGTATAAAATTTATTTAAACATTCACAGAATTTTTATGTATATATGAAAGTATTACGTATTTTGTATTTAAAATTGAAAGGTTGAAAACTTCATATATTTTGTAATGTAGATAATAATAAGATTAATTATCAATTTTTAAATACAAAATACTTTCGATCTTTTGCTATTAGTACTGAAATACAAAATACAAAATACAGAATACTCCCATGAAATATAAAATACAAAACATTTTTATGTGCTCCGCTGAAAAACTAAATACAGGACACAATTGTTTTACAAATACCGTTTTTCAAATAAAAGTATTTCAAATATATGCTCATCCTTGCGTCATCTGTACGTCGATCGATCAATTTTGACGCTACATTTAATTACATTAACTTTGATAATTCTAATCTCTATGGCTATGTTACTTATATATTATAATGACTTATCATTTTATTTTTAAACACCTAATTTTATAATGCATAATTATCATTTGATTATATGTACTTTACTCCATTTGACAATTTACTGGATTTTTTATTAAAGTAATTTTATAGTTAACTCGACGTATATAATTACTATTTAATGATTACACTAAAAAGGACTCAAAATTAATAATTAAGACATTTACATTTTCTTAATTTATATCTTTAGACAATAAATTTTATGTACATACACATCCATTCAGTGTTGACTTGTATTAGCATTTTTACTATATTTGATTTATATCTAATCTTTGTTGTATCTATTATATATTTTTATAACTTTGTATATTAGATTTATTCATAGATATATTCAACATAATTACTCATCTTTATTCATAATTCTATAAATTTACTAATAGTTATTCATTTTTTTACAAAGACGCATCGGAATAGCTGCTGAAAAGAACCAGTCCTTATCAGCGTGAATCTAAGATCCTGGAATAAGAATTGTCAGAGTGAACGACGAGGGTTGAACAAAGACAGCACTTTAATTCATCGTAATTATAAACTGTTGGGCAGAACAGGTTTATCCTAATTCAATTTACACGCACCAGTAATCAAGATTTGGGTTTCCCTAAGCAATTTTCTTATAAAGTACCCATAACATCTACGCGTCCTAAGTTTAAATCCTTGCCGAATCTTCGTTACAGTAATTCCTATTTGCCGGAACCAAGTTACAAAATCAGGACCGAATTTGGCAAACAAGCGATTTCACAACACCAATCAACATTTTACCTGTCCGGGTGATTTGTAACTGATCGAACAATGTTCCCACACACATGATATTCATATTATTAACATTTTATATAAGCATTTATTAATAAATTACCTTATTAAAGTAAGTAATATATGATTTTTTTTTCAATTCTTTGCTATTTTTAGAAAACTTTTATCGTTTATTTTATTCACACATCAGATATGATTGACCAAAATATTTTGTTGAAAAAACATCTTTCATTAATTATTTTTTAAGTTCGACAATAAATATAATTATCTTGGAAATTACATTTTAATGCTTAAAGAAATTATTGTAAAGTCTGAGAAAAACACGAATAGTTTAAATAATGCACAAAACTTTAGCAGTATATTAAAGATTCTAGTTTCCCTAGCATTCTGTTGCCCCAGTTAACAGACTTACAATTAGAATCGTGCCTCACTAAATTATGATCTTTATACTTGTTTCATGTAATAAATCGTATACACAAAACATAATTACTACACAACATACTTTATTACAAGGGACAATATTCTTAGGACGTAGAAACATCTTCTAGATATCTCTTGGAGATCTATGCTCTATGGAATATATTTAAAAATAATTGTGACTGATTGATGGAACACGAAAAAATAATAAATTATCTAAAATAAGTAATTATTTTAATAGGATGAACTATTTTTGGTCTAAAAATAGATTACTTTGAAAGGAAGAGTTGTCACTCTTTTAATCTACCAATTATTGAATGTTACAATTATAAAATACATACATAAATAGCAAAATATAAAAAAGTAAAGTTAAAACTTGTGACAGTAAACAGTTCTTTGATTTCGTAAAAACTGACGGGCTAAAAAAATTAATACCGAGTTCTAAAGAGGCTGCCCATCTTATATTTCTCCTTGTTCCTAAATGGATTTCTTCAACACAACCAACCTAATCTCCTTATACTTTTGCAGTCGAGCCACATTTAAGATAACTTCGGCTTATAATATCACGATTTATGGTTGAAGGAAGGGCTCTCGTCATCGATAAACGTGCGATGAATAAGCGATGGCGCAAATGCAGACACGGCTAGATGCTTCTCTACGTTGTCTTGGATATTTCCCGGATTCTGAGAAAAAGGGGCAAACGCTGAGAGATCCGCAAGGGAGACGTTTAGATCTTCTGGATCTATGTATATCTGTCCACCGCATCGCGTCAGTCGAGCATAGTCGAGCACCGATTCCGCCGTCACGATCGTTCGCACGAAGGTCAGTCGTGATTAGCGAGGATGGGTGCGCGTCTCACTGCTTTAATATTCTCACGGATCGCGATCTCTGAATGCTCCTATTCATAGCTTTTGAACAGATGTAGACGTACATAGGTACGAACGTGCGTTAATTATGACACATCGATTGCACGAAGTACTTGTACTGATATACTCATGCACGAATCGATTCTCGCGTCAATATGCAACCCGTGCTGAAGAACATCAATCAAAAAGATGGATCTTAATGACCTTGATTAAATTTCTCGTTTTTTTTACGTACGAGAAATTGCGCACTAAGTCCTTGTTACCTGATCAAAAAGTATAGTTTGAAAAATCTCTCATTAGAGAACAGCGAAATACGCAAAGGAAATTTATGCGTATAAGAGAACTTACAATGGCGGCCAACTTTTTTAACGTACGTATAGCCGCTAAAGAGGGTTCTTATTTGCGCAAACTGTGTGAAGCAATATCAGCTTCTAAAGTTGTGAAATATAAAATAAGCTAACAATAGCTAGGGGCTTCATTGAAATGTTCTTGATTATTACTATACAAATGCTGTTCTTTATTTATGGCTTTTGTCGTAATAGTTAATCAGTGTGTAGCAAAGCTTACATTTAGAAAATTTTTACATTGATTAATGATATATTTATTTGTAAGAAAAAAACGATGACAAGAAGAAATTTATTGTTTAAAATAATAACGTCGTAAATAAATATGTACAATATGAGTAGAACAAGTGATGTATCTTTAACAAGCATGATCTACTTTAAAGAAAGTAAAACTTTAAAAAAAAATTCAATTCTTATACTTTTTAAGACTTTAAAGGTAGACGTTTATTTTTTAAACATTTTTTAAGAATTTATCTTACGTATGGTGGAAACTTTTCCTATAATAAGTTTACCAATTATCGCATATACTTCAATTATCTCAATCCTCTTCCGTGTAATTATTACGAAATTCAATCAACAGCTAATTATTGCCTCACATAATATTCCGGCAGGTATCATTGTGATGATAAAGAAATATTACAAAAAGAATAGCAAGAGAGATGACAAGGACGACTTGTCTTTCCTTTCCGAATGATTTGTTCACTGATGTAATGCAATTGTTGTAAAGAGAGACTATGAAGATTGCTAATAATTTATACTTTCTCGGTTTGTTTGCCCTGATTTTCATGAAGTTTAATGTATTCGCAACATGGATATATTGTATATTCAAATATACTTGCTATATTGCAATCTTTTCTCACGGCTATGTCGTAATAATAATTGTTTTAAGCATTAATGTGATCGATTTGTTGCAATGCATTACTTCGAGATTATGTAATGTAGGTCATTACCCTAATTTTTTTATCAATAAAAATTATTTATTGTTAGGACAAAATGACTTAACCGTTTCTTCTCACTTAAGAGATCGTGAGACAATTGTTATATATAATACAATAAGAGGATTCCGAGCATGTTTTACGAGGGAATCAAGTGCGGTACGAGAAGCGCGATTGAAGTCTCGCGCTCGTGAGAACAAATTTGATGTAATTATCGCGGAAGCATTGCGCCGTCTTGGAACAACGTTGGAAATTGTACTAATCGTACATATATATATATAGATTATACATACATTCTTTTTTTTTTACTGCATTTATAATATCATTTCAAAACAGATTAAACGACAAATTGGGAAATCATATCATACCTAGACGTATTTTTAACTATTCATTTCGTTAATAAATGATACAGAAAATGAATATTAAATTCTAGGAGAGACTATCAATGTTTCTTACTCACTAAAAAGCAAAATGAAAAATAAAATATTAAATATTTTATCAGTGTAGAAAACATAATTATATTTAAAAACTAAAAAATTTCAGAATCCTATCTTTTACGCGCAAAAAGCTTTTTACACACACTTAGATTAATTATAAAATTAATCTGAAAAGATAAAAATGATCAATATAATGACTGCTCGGTACTTCTATAATATTAAATAACGTCGCTATCAAGGATTTCTCCTTATATTTAAATAAAATTTTTAAGAATCTTTTTCTGTTTTTAATTCTTCAGATATACGCTTTGAAATATTGCAGATTGTAAACATATTATTATCATATACGTGTTATTCATGGAAATAATTAGAAAAAATGTTATGATTAATTTTCATATATTCATATACATTTATTTCAATGTGAGAACTTATTCGTCATAGCAGCGAGTGACGAATGCATTGGATACTGCTATTATAATCGTAATCAGTTTTTTTCTACCATACGTTATTTCCATTTTTTTTTTGTTTATTCTAATTGCCGCAGATTCTATAATAATTTCTTAAAATATTCATAAAATAGATGAATTCTAATACAGCCAATCGTTAGACTTCATTAACGATTAGTTCTAGAGGAATAGATGATTTTGCAATGCGTAAACGATTATCGCAATCGTATTAAATCGCTGATGGATTTCAGCAGAAATGCTAATACGATTATATAGTCACGTATAAGAGCCTTTCTATGTTGGGATCATTGATAGATATCGCAAGCTTTACCCACCAATCGTCTTATGAAAATAAAGTGAAGAGAAGTATTCTTCTCTCCACAGTTTTTTTTTTTTTTAAGGTACAAAGTTTATTTCGTCTAAAGTTTCCCGAAATTATATTTATATAATTGCCGCTTTTGCTTGGTAGATTTTTATTATTTAGAATTTCGTAGTGCGACTACGGAGTATATAGATATAAATTAATTTATAAATTTCCAATGTGCTAAAAATCTCTAGAGCTACAAATGTGCGATGTTCAATGGAACTAAACTGGTTTTTGCATGGAATACAGGCAGAAGATGAGGTGGAAGAAACGAGCTGGGAAATACTCGCCTTAGGGGTCCGCATCTAGTAGTATCCTCAAGGTTTTGCAAACTGAAATCTCATCCGTCCGTCCGTACAATAACTCAGCAAATAGTTGAATCGATGCCACGCATCCTCGCCCCGGGACTCGTCGCGGCCGACTCTGACTGTTGCGGATTTTGTGGACGTATACAATATGGACAGCACCATGCGAGGGAATTAAACAGAAATTGTAGATTCAGGAATTTCGCAGTATCACGATATGTGTGCGAAGCGAGAAGTCGATATCAGCGTCCGCTTTTGTCCCATTCGGCGTGAATTATGCGTCAACTGCCTTTATACCACCCACGCGATGCAGTAACTCGCACTTTGCGGTGAAAGCACCGCAGAGGAGAACGTGCGAAGACACGTCGTGTCACTACGTACGTCCGATGATGATTACACGATGACGCAGACCGATTATGAATCCGAAACGAGGCGAGCGAAGAACGAATGGAATAGCTCGTCCTTTGACAGCAACGGAGCGCAACGTAGTAGATTCTCATACAAAATTTACTGTGAGTAAATCACAAAGATTCGTCAAAGAGATAACATCAATCAAACTCGTTAAGCTAGAAAATATATTTCAAATTGCCGTGAGGCAACTTATTGAATGAAATATCGAATAAAAAAAAAACTGTTCATCCAAAAAATTCATTGAAAAAAAATATCATTAACATTTTTTGTCGATAAAATTGACTCTCGAACGGCATATGAGTCATTCGTGTCTATGCTAATTCTAATTCTTATTTCTCAAATACCTGTACGTTTGACCCTATATCCCTCCCCCTCTGTAAAAAATCTTTGTAGCGGGGGAAATATATGGAAGCAACGGCGATACGAGACCTCTGTGTGCTGTCGAGCAGTGCAGTCGCAAAGTTGAAAATACCAAAATACGATATTTTCAGATGCTCAAATAATTGTACATTTTCTGCATCCGGCTGCTGCAATGTTTTTTTTTGTAAAGTATCATATCTATACACAAAAAAATCCTGCAATGGTTTTTTTTTTTGTGTACATACAATGGCGTGCAAAAGTTTCCGATCAATAACATTTTGTATTTTAATTTATAAAAACAAAAACCTGATAAAATTTTAATTATTATCGAGTGTCAGTACAAGATGTGGGTAACGAAATCTTGTACTAACATCTATTACAATAATAATTATATTAGGCTCTTTTTTATAAATTAAGGTACAAAATATTACTGGCCGAAAACTTTTGCACGTCATTGTATATAGCATAAAAAGTTACAATTTTATATCAAAACTAAATAATTTTCTTTTTCTGGTGCAGAAAATAACTTTCATAATTTTCCTAAACTTTTTTTCTAAAGTGCTGAAAATGTTATATAAATTTTAAGACATTTAAAATTTATGTATTTAGATTGTCTTTCTATATCTATCATATGGACATCATGCACAAGGTACTCTAAACGGCTCTTGCCATTAAATTCGCTCATCCTCTGTCAAAGTACAACAACATTAATATGATCTACTTTACTGCCCTTCTAATCATTGATGACCTCGATATCTCGACTGGAAACCAAAGGAAGAGGCTTTTTTGTAAAAGCAGATTCTATATGTATGCAACGAAGGGTATTATTCCGTACAGCTTTCCGATATCATGCATTATTTATTAAGAATCACTTCTCTTCGATCTCACAATCAGGTAAAGGTTCAAAGCTAGAAACAACCGTACCATAACTTTACAAATTCAATTGCTCTACAATTACTTATGAAAAACGATGAAATATTGTTTTAAGAATATAAACTATTTTAAGAAATACAAATCTATGCATTTTATATTATAATAAAAAATTATCTATATACGTATGTATATATAAAAATAATAAGTTACTAAAATTTATAAAATTTTTTATACATGTATCTCATATTTAATAATAAATAAATATTTGAATTTAGAATATTTAGAAAAATATGTATTTCTACATATATATTATATATATATGTCTATAATATATAATATAAAATAAAATAAATTTTATTTAATTGCATTAATTGATTTATTGCATTAATTAATTAATAACAGTTTTTTTTAATAATTTTGCCACAAATTAATGTAGAAATATTTATTACAAATAAAAAGAAGAAACGTTTCTTTTTATTATTAATTTCTCTTGCTTGTTCTGTTCACTTAATTGCTAATCTAGCGTGATATAAATTCAGCTTGTACTTTAACAAGCAAGGGGTAATTGCGGCGGCAGCGTACATCTATTTTATTTAAATACAAGTAGATCGAGATGCGGAGACATCCTTACGATCTTTCTTCTCTAAAGCGATCTTTGCCGTCGACTAGAGCAACGCGAAATACACAGCACTTCGGTAGACGTTACTCTACTTGCAGTATTTCACTTTCACTAACCCCGGCCTCCCACGAGCTGCTCATCTCCGCGAGATCCCCCATCAGGATCCCCCTCTGAAGGAGGCCTCCTTCGATCCCGCAGCGGGTCACTTACGTCGTGAGGTCGTTCCACGGATGGCGCACCGCTTATGGATAGTAATGGGCCCGCGCTAGATTCGTTGCCGCTATTTTGGGCCCAACCTGTCGATATTTACTTTAGGCAATCACCCGGGGTCGAAGAGGTCCAGGTGCCTCTCCTCTTCATCCGACTCTTACTTTTAAAGGTGCTTCCTTTATTTATGGACCTTCCATATATAGGAGGTTATATAAAATCCATATTATGTTCAATATTTATATAATATTATAAATTAAAATATATGTAGAAAAAATATTTATAGTTGTTCACAAAAATAATAGATTTATAATTATTTATTAATATGAAATACCGTATACCTTATAGATTTATATAATATTATTCTCTTAAAATAATTTTTATTAACGTAAAATGATCTGAACAAACTATATTATAGTTGCAACATACGTTATATGTATTTCTTCAGATTTGACGAATAAGAAATCGTTACGGAAGCAATATCCTCGTTTCTCTTAAGATTTTTAGAAATACAGACGCCCCGCACGAAAAGATCCATCCCATCGCTATTCGCGGTTTCGCGAGCTTCCCCACCTTGCATCCCGAAGAACAGAGGAAAAAAGGGGGCTCGATCTGGAGGAGGTCGAAGGATGAGCGCCGGGGCTCATCCCTGGTGGGGGCGTATCAGCACTCGGGGTGCTATCCAAGGATATATATGCCGATGAAGTTACTTCCACCATCAGTCACTGTCTTGACTTACCTCAGCACTGCGGTGTGTTTTGTACATACGGATCGGTTGGGTGAGTCCTCGACATCACTTCATCCCCCTAATGACACCCACGATCGCGCTTTTGCCCGTCGTTCGACTCGGCGAGTTCTCGCGTCTATCGCATAAATCGGACCCTTTCTTTCGTTCCGACCAGTGTTCGTCCCGAGAATTGAGTTCGTTATTACATTTTTCCTCTCTAATGCATCTGTGCGCCCATATCCCAACGTGGCACCGATAACACGCACGAATGACCCGACGAAGGTCCCAAACTTCCGTGCGCAATGCTCGGGGATAGAATGAGGAACGAACGCAGTGCATTAAAGCAACATGGTCAGTGATTTCCATTCGAGCGTTTCTTGGAGTTCTATTTTCTCGTAAATATGTTTAATATATTTGTGTACACAAGGGAGTGATGTAAGTTATAACAGCAGAGTAGGCGCATATGCTTATCCAAGTATCAATGTACAAAATTTGTAACGCGAGAAACATAGAAAAAATAAAAAAACCTTTTTTTAATATTATAATGATATCAAAAACTAAATTTCTATACGTGTATTTAAGATTTCAATAAAATTTGAATAAATTTATACAAAGAAAAAAATATATATATATATTAATTAATTTCAGACCTTTAAAACTATATTATTTATCGCTTAGTTCAATTTTCATGTCAAAATTAATCAACGTGATGTGAGTAATATAAATGTATTAAAATTTTATTATTAAAAAAAGTTTTATTTGAAAGCATTTTTAGCAGAGATCATCCACGTTTTAACGAGAAGAATAGCTTACATTTTTAACAATATGCAGCAAAATACAAATCAAATCAAATTTTATTTAAAAAATATTTGATGATTCGAAACATTTTTGGCAAAAATGTTATGCATGTTTTAGCAAACAAATTGCATTTTTAACCACAAATGGCATAACGTATCTCATAATCAGATAAAATTTATGTATATTGTACATATATGATATATATAAAAACGGAATACAATTTTTTTAATTATTGAAAATTGCTGGAAAATTAAAATTCTAATATCCATCTTCTCAAATATTTCTACATAAACTAACTACATGTGTAAACGTATGAAACAGATCAATCGATTGCACTATTTTTTCAGACTCGCCCACTCCTTGAGGGTGCTTGCGCCAGCAAATATGCGGCTACGCTTGCTCTGGATCGGTAAGATAAAAGTGATATTGATTCAAAATATTGGGTTCATATATTATCGCGTGGCTTTACTTCGTGTAATTATCTAATGTAGTAACCGGGTTGTTACATTAGCACATCATCAAATAAGCACATGGGAAGAACTAACAAACAGCGAGAAACGTCGCGTCGCGGCAATACTCGTCAGTTTTTCTCTGGAGAAAACAGAAAGATTAGCAGAGATTGCAGTGTCGTGGACAGAGAAAAGAAAGTTCGCAATTTGTGACGTGTCCCAACGTCAAGTATAACCTTCGTCTCAATAATCGAAGGAGATGAAAAGTTTCCAAGCAATTGTTAAGCAATCCTATACACTAACTTTACCTTCCGTTCATTGAATTATCGTACCGTATAAGTTCTCATAAGCGCCATTATGCGCCACGCAATCGGTATAGCATTCTTCGACAATGTCCGTGTGATGACTGCAAATCACATCAGAAAGATATAAAAAGAGAGGAAAACTTCATCAGCGATCATCAGTCGCGAACGTGATCAAATGAAAAATTTTCTAATAAATGTATTTTATAGGTAACTTTTTACAACAATAACAATTTATACATACAGCAATAACACGAAGAGGAGTTTGCTTTTGATATTTTGCATGGTTTAAAAATAATATATTTTTGAAGTAGGTATTCTTATATCTAAAAATAATAATCTTATAGTATTTTTAACTTTTATTAAATTTTCTGTCTTTAAGTGTAACTTCGAACTATAAAAACAAATTATGAGCACAAATCGTAATTATCATAATCATAATTTGTGTATCAAACGTAACAAATACATTAAAACATGTATTAACTATTACGTATGAGGTGTTATATAGAAATTTTATTTCTTGAAATGATTTATTTGTTTTATCAAGTAATATCTAAAAGAATTAAATGTCGTAATAAGTACGCCTTCTACGATTTGGTTACGATATTACGGTTCAAATGAGTTTTAATTTTCGATGGAACCTTCACGCAAGGTCTACAATATTTTTTCGTAACATCCTCTAATTAAAACGAATTAGAGATAAGCCAGCGCGCTGTGGGCTGGTATTGTTCCAACGCACTTTTACGTATTACGGGGTCACCATTTACGCTTACGATCATCCGCACTTAAAATAAAGGTCAAGTGTATGCAGCGTACCGTGTTAGCGCAACTTCTATCGCTTTGCTTCTTACGAATCTTGAAAACAGGCACCGTTCGAGATCGTAAATCTATGAAAAAGGCGAGCGCTTGGAAAGCCAATGAAAAGAATAATTCGAAAATAAATCAAACTTTTCTAATTTTAAAGTCGAACTATGAAGTATGAATTATCGCAGTTTCCTCATATTTCAATTAACTACATGTATAGTAAAGACTAATGATGGTAATTAAAAGAAATTTTTTAACGTGCTGCTATAATGTAATTACGTTACAGTGATACAATGTAAATGTGATACTTTTTTGACCGGAGAGATATTAGATACGAAAAATTCATAATAGTCCGAGGAAATAGCTTAAAACGGGTTAAGCCTTTTCCGTTACGGCTTCCCTTCGGGCAAGTTACGTCAATACTCTGACGATCGTGCAACACTAGTGTAACCACGTAACGGTCGAAGATCCTCTTAAACGATGCATCGAGTATCGTGCTCGGATTATCTTCGTAGATCACGCGAGGTTCGGCCATCTTGATCTCCGCCCCATTGTTTCGAGGTAACCAAAACCGAGGCTATCAACCGACAACAGGAAGGTGTACGAATAATGGTATGCGATATTGTTACTTGAAATAGCCTTTTGGCCGAATTATGCGTAATGTGGAAATAAATAACGTGTGGAAGATGAAAGGAAAAGGTAAAATTGTTAAAATGGAAAGTAATTCCCACACACGTCGCTTACGATGATTATATATGTATAACTATTCAAACAGTTTTTTGTGCTTTTAGTCACGTTTAGTATAATGTAGCTCATTAAAATCGGAAATCAGTATTAAAAAAGCATCGCCATTAAATGTCATTTATATTTCTATGCAAATTGATTTTAAAATAAAATTTTATTAGCAATTTAATATAAGATTTATGAATTACTGTCTTAGGTAATCCTGATATTGGATAATTTGAAGCTCTCTTTTATTGCAATTACTTCTGTTGATGCAAATTAATTCAAATTTATAAATTTTATATATAAATAAAAAATACAAAGCTAATTTAAAATTAAATTTCGGTTGATAATTATTAGGAAATAAAATTCATATTTAGTGTGACAAAGAGTAATTTCCTAGATTATACATGACAACGATCTTATTTGAGGTCAATCGTATTTGCTAAGTTACACCTATTAGTCTATGTCGAAGTAAAGTCACCATTAGAGTTTAATTTGTCAACGTCAATGTGTCTGATGCATCATCGACATTCGAATTGTTTGATAACCCCATGAGAGCTATGGGGGTCACGGCTTCTATTTTAGGTGTCTTCTTTCCTAAAAATATTTATAGCAAAATGTTATACATACTTTTAATATTTTTAAAATGGTTAATTACAATTTTGATATTATAAAAATTATTTTTTTAATTTAAGAAGCTCATAGATTTTAACAGTTTAAAGCTTAGCTGTTCTATTGTAGACATCGCGTTATGCAGTGTTATGCAAAAGTTTATACTGCGGTTTTTACTTTTCATCCGTCGCAAATAAAAAAATTTTTGCTTGCAACGCAAAATTGAAAAATAAGGCCGGAAAAGTATACAAATTGTAGAAATTTTCCTTTTTTTTTTTATCATTGATACATGATAGAAACTTGACAATACAATAGCACATAAATCCATCAATAACCGTCCCCTTGAAAAGTTTCTGAATTTGCTCTTGTTTTCAATAACGATATACTTTTGATGCCGTTGTATTGAGAAATTAAACTATATTTTTCTCAACAAAGAGCACTTTATAATTTGCAAATAAGATGATATGGAAATTTATGGAAAGCAGTGCTCAAAGATTTCCTTTCTGATCGGACACGTTTCTCACATGTGTAATCGAAATAAATAAGTATTTCGAGAACATCACTTCATAAAGTTTAAGAGAGATCACCATTTGAATCTTCTTGCATGCTCAAGAACCAGAGTATCTGTATCTGCTTAACAAGTAGCTTGCGTGATCCGCGAACCGGTGTCATTGCGAAAACGTGCACGGTCTTCACAATTCTCGTGCAACACACCACACGTACTCCTGCAGCTTGTTCATAATGTTCGCTTCTCCTCCTCTGTCTTTTGCATGTGCGATCTTTTCTTCTGCGTTTATCCCTCTTCATTTTTTTTTTTATGCTATTTACGTACAGACAAGCGTGCGAAGAACCCGTATCTTCTCTGTGCCTACGCTCTAAGCGCGCTCGACAATGCTGCTTAATTAATTGGACGGGAAGTTATGTCAGAGATTTTTCAAGACACATTTCTCTTTTGTGAGATTCGCACGCAACCTCTCGTCATCGCGACGAATCGCGGTTGTTACTGGAGGCGGCGTCGGCAGCATGCAGCCGTTAGCACTTGAGATAATTAATGTCATAATCACAATTCTTTCTTTGATGGATATGTAACGAGCGTCTAACAACTGCGTCAGATAAAGAAAGTGCAATTTGTCAAAGTACTCGAAAAAATAACATTGTCTTATTTGATTTTGTTTCAGTCTTGCTGGCTGTCACTCGTACAGTTCTGGTAAGTAATTTTTAATCATTGATTATGTCATTAAAAAAATATTCACATAATATATCTCTTGACATAATTCGCAATTTTTTACGATTTATTTGAAACTTGTATAAATGTTGTCTTTTTTTTACTTTCTTTAATCTCCACCACAAAAGCGATATATTAAAATCGATATAAATCAATGCGATGTAATCATTTTAATTTGTTGCGATCAACACATCTCTTTACTTCTTCTTTCCCACCTTATGAAACAGTATTTTCAGTTGCACAACTTTATAAGCACTCTCATATTAATCAGTCGTGACTGTAACTGTTGTAACTTCACAACGGTTATAATGATCGAGGATACGAGAAGATGATCCTTTGGACTTTTTATGAGCACGATTCTATAAAGCTGATATAATTAACCGTTCAAGTGTATCATAATTTCAACTAATGCTAAAGCAGTACTAAATATAATAAATGAACTTAAATCGAATTATATATGAGAAAATATGTATTAATTATATTATTAATATTAATTAAAGTATTAACTAATAGTATTTTTAATAGTAGTTAAAGTATTAACTAATAAACTACCTTAGTATTATACTATCACGAGTTAAATTGACTAACAATTAAACAATTTTGATGCTCATAGCATCTTGGATCTTAATAATGTTGAATGACATTAAAATCTATAAATAATATAATATATCAAAAATCTGTAAATAATTAATTTATACTGCGAAAAATATTACCTCGGTCGAAAGTCGAACTCGGATTTCTAGCATTTCGTGCGTTCTTAATATGAATTTATAGAAAATATTATTAAAAGTTAGTTTTCTAAGAAAAAATTATTTGTGTGTGTGTTATATTAAATTTATTCTATATGTTTTCCCTTGTTTCTTTACAAAGAGGAACTACGTCTTTTATTGATTCAATATTATAAGTTTGTCGACATTCTCTATTCGTCATAATTAACGTTACAGGCTGACGACGAGGGATACAATTACCCTAGGCCGACAAACCAACTTATACCAGGTATATCAGAAGGAGGAACCGGCAAACCAGGAGGATTTCCACCTGCTCCTGGAGGATATCCTTCTGGTGGTCCAAGTGCACCTGGAATTCCTGGAGAACAAGGAGCGCCTGGTGGTCAACCTGGAAGACCAGATGGTTATCCATCAGGACCACCAGGATTTCCGGGACGTCCAGGTGGTGCTCAACCAGGGCGACAACCTAGTTTTCCATCAGGTCCAGGACCTTCAGAGGGATATCCTAGTGGACGACCATCGATTCCATTTCCGAGCGGTGAACCAACAGGAAGACCAGGAACGGGTCCCGGTTTACCGAGTGGGCCAGGTGGACGACCAGAGGGATTTCCAACAGGGCCAAGTGGTGGATATCCTAGTGGCAGACCTGGCGGGCAACCGCCAGGTGGATTTCCCGGTGGGCAAAGACCAACCGGATACCCGAGTGGTGGGCCCGGTCAGGAAAAACCAGAAGGTCCTGGGTATCCCAGTGGTCGGCCGGGTGGACAAAGACCAGGTGGAGGATATCCTAGCGGTCAAGTTCCTGGAGGTTATCCCGGTGAAGCACAGAAGCCTAGTGGCCCAGAAAGTGGATATCCTAGTGGAGGGCCAGGAGTTGGCTATCCTGGAGGTACTCAAAGACCTAGTGGTGGTCCAGGCCCTCAGAGACCAGGCGGATATCCAGGATCAGAAGGGACAAATGGTCTTCAAGGTCCTGGTCCACAAGGCGGACCATCTACCAACGGTTATCCTAGTGGCAGACCAGGAGCGCAAAGACCAGGAGGTTATCCAAGCGGCCCAGGCCCACAAGAACCAGAAGGATATCCAAGTAAACCAGGAACACAAAGACCAGGAGGTTATCCAAGCGGCCCAGGTCCACAAGGACCAGGACGATTCCCAGGTGGGCCAGGCCCGCAAGGACCAGAAGGATTTCCAGGTGGACCAGGAACACAAAGACCAGGAGGTTATCCAAGCGGTCCAGGTCCGCAAGGACCAGGACGATTTCCAGGTGGGCCAGGCCCGCAAGGACCAGAAGGATTTCCAGGTGGACCAGGCCCACAAAGATCAGAAGAAATTCCAAGTGGACCAGGCCCACAAGGACCAGGAGGATTTCCAAGAGGACCAGGCTCGCAAGGACCAGGCCCACAAGGACCAGGAGGATTTCCAAGAGGACCAGGCTCGCAAGGACCAGGCCCACAAGGACCAGGAGAATTTTCGGGAACTGGCCATCCAGTAGGTCCTGGTGGACCTGGAGAATATACCCATGAAGATGAGGGAACATACGACGAAGGTGATTATTCAGCTATTCCGGGCGAACCTGGTCGCGATTATCCTATATACAGTGAAATTCCGGAGACCAGTTTCCGTTGCGATGCCCAACAATTCCCTGGTTACTATGCCGACGTGGAAGCCCAGTGCCAAGTTTTTCACATATGTGCCAACAATAAGACCTATGATTTCCTTTGTCCAAACGGAACAATTTTCCATCAACAATTTTTCGTTTGTGTATGGTGGAATCAATTTGACTGTAACTCCGCGCCAAGTCTTTACTATTTAAATGAAAATATTTATGACTATACTATAATGGGAGCACAAGGTCAAGGACCTGCAGGACCTTCCGGACCTAGTACTTATCCAGGAGGTCCAGGTGCTCCTAGTGGCCCAGGTGGTCCAGGCGCTCCTAGTTATCCAGGTGGTCCAGGCGTTCCTCCTAGTGGTCCAAGTTATCCAGGAGGTCCAGGCGCTCCTAGTGGTCCAAGTTATCCAGGAGGTCCAGGCGCTCCTCCTAGTGGACCAAGTTATCCAGGAGGTCCAGGCGCTCCTCCTAGTGGTCCAAGTTATCCAGGAGGTCCAGGCGCTCCTAGTGGTCCAAGTTATCCAGGAGGTCCCAGCGCTCCTCCTAGTGGTCCAAGTTATCCAGAAGGTCCACAACGTCCTGGCGGTCCAGGTTATCCAAGAGAGGGACCTCAAGGTCCATCAGGGCCAAACGGTTACCCAAGAGGACCTCAAGGTCCATCAGGACCTCAAGGTCCATCAGGACCTCAAGGTCCATCGGGACCTCAAGGTCCATCGGGACCTCTAGGTCCGTCAAGACCTGGTGGTCCAGATTATCCAGGAAGAGCACCATCCGGTCCGGGACCGCAAGGTCCATCGGGTCGACCAGGGCCTGGATATTTAGGTCCGCCGTCCGGACCACCAGGACCTCAAGGACCTCAAGGACCTCAGGGACCAGGTGGACCAGGATATCCTGGAAGACCTCAAGGACCTTCTGGACCTACTGGACCATCGACGAGACCCCAAGAACCTAGTGGTCCGGGCTATCCAGGACCAGGTGGACCTCCAGGATATCCAGGACAACGTCAAGGACCCATTGGTCCACAAGGTCCAAGCGAATTTCCGGGTGCACCGGGACGTCCGCAAGGACCTACTGGCCCAAATGGATATCCCAGAGGTAAACCAAGTGGCCCAGCGTTCCCAAGTGGGCCTTCTGGGCCAGGAGGTATCCCTGGAAGACCCGAAACGGGTTCACCGTTTACACCGCAAGGCCCTGCGAAGCCTGATCGTGAGTACTTGCCGCCGAAGATTGAATAAACATGAAGCTAAACTTTCGGCATCTAACGACGACTTTTATCGTTAATGTCGAACAACGTGTAAATACGAGTCTCTATACTTGCGTATATGTAATAACTAAGTGATATCGATTATTCGTATTGCATTCACACTTTTACATATAGGAAATTTGATTATTCTTGCTTAATTGTTTACTCATTCTTTCTAGGATTTCCACGCAGATAATTGATGCTATTTATATCATTGTATGTGTTCCAATTAGCTGTAATGGCAAAATATATTTTTTTATACAAAAAGATAAAAATTTTTATATTAATAATTACATACAAAATAAATAATATTTAAAATATTTCAATTATACATCCATATATTATAAAATACATGCATTTTTAAATATTTTATTAGTAAAATATAAAAATTAATTTACCAAAAAAATTTTTTAAGTTCTAGCATTAAAAATTTCTGTTTTTTTAGTTTTTTTTTTGTTATATAAAAGTGTACAAAAAGTAGCATCAAAAATTGATGACATAACTTTATCGAATTTAAAATGTTTGATTGCAATATAATTAAGTTTTTTAGATCTATTTGCCATCTACATATTATTATATATTAAAGTAATTAATAAATTATAAGTTAATTTATAAGAAATAAACGTTTTCGATGTTAAATCGCATCAAAGAAGAGTATTTAACGGAAATCTTATAATGAAATCATGAGTGAATAATATTAAGACCTGTGTTCTGGGTGTATTCATCATCGTCGAATCACATATTACTAATTAATTAAATTAAAAGTATTAAATACCTTTCATTGTTATTGTTATTAAATAAACATTAAATTCTAATCCAATTTCATATTTCTACACAGCAAAAATAATTATTGGCACTATACTACTAATAACATTGTTATTATCGATGTTAATTGCCAATATGATAATTAATAAAATAAAGCTTTTGAGGCTTTCACGAATATTTTTTTCAAAGATACCAGAAAGTTTGCGGGTTATCGCCATGTTTTAATCTATTGCTAATGTTTTGTAAACCTCGATCGTTGTTCACTTCCTTAGGGCTAAAAGCGCACTGCGATGCGCACTGATACAGTATTAGTGCGCTCTTCGCCCTGATGAAGTAAACAGCAAGATTCACGAAACATTGGCATTAGCAATTACTAAAATGATTATTATTACTGCAAGCTGATTTTATCGATTAAATTGTATCGATACCAACCGAAGACGTTGATGGACTACATGCGGCTTGTAAGTAAGTATATTAAAACGCGACATATTTATTTATTCAGCTTTAATAAAAATATGAACCATATCACTTACGATCTATTCAAAATGAATCGGAAACGTCATGCGGATGTCATCGGTATTTAGATGTTTGTATGAGTAGAAATAAGAATTTATTAATTAAATGTAATCAAAACTACGTAAAAATGTAATGAGGTATAGGGTTTTATATTTTAAGACAACCTTGCCTTCTATGAAGTGTCATATAATAACACTTTTAACACAGAGAGTTAATTATTATATTTATATCAAACACAATATGATTGTAAAGACACAATTTTTAACGATTGCGACATATTTTCTTAGTATAATTCAAACTACAAATTTAGATTTGTAGAATTGTAATAGCGAATATTTTATAAGTAAATTATAATACGTAAAACTGCGTAAAATATACTTTTTACAACAATGTCTTCAAGAATTTTATGATTTCAAGAGTCATATCTTTAAAGTGGAAGAAGTGCAATTATCCTTCCGATAAAATAGTACCTAATTAATTATCACGTGATCTAAAAATAACGAAGCAGTGAGAGTTCAATTTCTTCCCGAAAAAAGTGTATCATTGTTATACATAATTAAGCAACGCATGACATAATTAAATATATATATATACATATATATACACATGTACCTATATTTTTATAACAATGGTTTGAGACTCCTACGTGGGATGCCATTATGTATATTTTATGCGCGAAATAAAGGAAACACCTTTGCAAGAATTATGTTGTCTCTATTCACTATAGGTCCCGCGAGTTACTGAAACCCGCGCGAGACGGTAACACACACGCGCGTTACTACATATTGCCTTTCCCTTTCCCCTCATTACTATAATTAGTCATTTCAAATTGTTCGCGCCAGGGGTTACATAAATTCGTATGTACGCGGGCTACGTGCGATCATCGTTTCGCGATTTATAGTTGCGTGTATTTCGCAACGCGCCGTCTCTTGTCTTCTGGCGAGAGACGTGAGGTGAATCAAGTTGAGTCGAGTCAAGTCGCGGCGAGTCATTCGACGGGCAAATGATTTTGCGGATTCCCATGGCAGTGACGTTACATTAGATAAACGAGTTGCGAGAGGCCCGCTGCGGTTCGTTCACGCGTCTTAAATTGTCTGACATAGCTAACTGGGTTGTACGAAATACCTCATCCTGCTATTCACATCGCTCTCGTCGGATTGTTCTAACGACGCGACGCGCCATCGTTCCATCAAGAGAGAGAAAAACGAGAAAAGAAATGACGCTTAATCATAGGGCGCGGGGTATCAGGTGCGATAGAAATAGACGCGCGTAAACCGCGGGATGGATATGCGTCGGGGATTGGAATATACCCGCTCAGTAACACAGGCAATTCCAGCCGGTTAGTAGTATCGCGCGAATAATCAGACGGTCGCTGTTGTAGTTTGTAATGAAAGGAGTTATACGCAAAGCCAATTAAACTTTGGTCTGGAAAACGGCTAGCTTCGGGCAAGATAACAAAGGTCAATGGCTAATTAACAACGTATGCAAATTAGGAACGTAATTCGTGTGCGTTGCTGCATATCGCAAACGCATTGCATATAGTAATCGTTTTGTGTAAATGACTTGATAACGAAAACTAGGTACACGAAAAATCTCTCGCGTCGCATTACAAATGCATTACAGATTTTTATCTCAATTAAACGACAAATATTACACAATTGTTTTACCGCGACTCTGAAAAATGCTTTAAAATAACTTTGAATGAACATTTATATAATAAAAATTTATTTAAGATACTGTTCAATTTTAATTAAGAATAAAAATGTAATTCTTAATATTTATTACTGCCAAGAATTTTATAAATTATTAACAGTAAATCTTACATCTATTCTGTTTTCGTAAAATATTCGCTACTTTTCCATAAAATATCAGGATTATATTTTGATAACGAAACGTGACAGCGTAAGCCGAAGATGAATCTCTTTCTTTCTGGGGCATTAAGAAATAATCAAAGGGCTGTAAAATAAAAGCGCAATGCAAATTGAAAATGTATATCGTAATACATTATGAGTCACTTTCCATGAATATGTAATGAATGAATCCACGACGAAACGCGAATTCCGTTTCGTCAGTGCTCCGCACGAAGGTCCCGTGTAATACACGTATTCGCGAAAACGGTCTCGCTTGCACTTATTTGGTGCAACAGCAAGGCGATGGTCGTGTGAAAAATGTAGAAATTAATGGGAAGGCGCCTCGCGCAGCTTGGAAATTACCGGCCCGTTACGCAAGCTAACCTTGAATGGCACGCGGACCATCTTGCTCGAAAAGTAGACCATCAGAGTGGTGATAGTGACGGATCACCTGTTAACAGATCTGACTTGCAGCCTGACCTTTTGCAGCTGGTATACTGATTCCGCCGTCGACACGCAACGTCGACTATTTGTGTGTTGCGGGAAAGTAGAAATAGACGTACACACACTTCTGTCTCTTACCTTTATTTCTCTCCCGGCCAGCATTACCGTATGTGTAGTTAATTGGCGTGCGTAATTGAGCTTTACCTAAGCATAATGGGGATAACTAACGAATCAGTCAAGCGAAGAAAATCCTATTCAAAGATGATTATATCACGTAGAGAACAGTGAAATTTTACACGCGATTTACGTGACGTTTTTACAACACGTAGTACAATCTGTTACTTCGTAAAAACATTCTGTAATATAAAATAAGTTAATTAACTGAAACTGAACAATGTAAATGAAATTTTCACAGAGAAAAGTAGAATCTCGTAGAAAATTATTTAAAGTGGAATTCTCCTCTTTGCTTAGAGATAAACGCATATAAATTATAAAACGCGGAAGCCAAAATTCTTATTTCTTTATTATGAAGATTTATAACGTAGATTGCCGCAAATATTTTCGAATTTAAGATAAAAAAATGTATGCTGCGTGCGAAATGTCGTTAGTGACAATTTCAGCTTTCGAGAATCGATATATCTACTGCGTAACGGCCATGTGCACACTCGAAACGTAATCTTTTCTTTGCGATTTGTTAGCTCTCAAGATGCGCGCATGTACTTAGAAGTATCGTTCGATGGGCACGCCGACGGAGATGCGATGATGACGAAATTTGTCAGCTCTTCAACTACCGACTGCCATTATTGCATCTCCCCGTGATACGATACGGACGATGAAACCCGCTGTCACGGAAAATAGGACGAAAAACGGCGGGCAGCAGATGGTGTAGCCAATATCGCAAGGCGATTTATGCAATTTCTGTAGATTGTAAATTGCAAATGACCGCGCGTGTTGCGGGATCCTCGGTTAAGGCAACACGTTTGCCTTTGTAAATTTTACGAATCGCAGACCAAACAACGTTCGCCTTATGACGCTGCTACAAGAATCGATACTCACTCACACACACACACTCTCTCTCTCTCTCTCTCTCTCTCTCTCTCTCTCTCTCTCTCTCTTTCTTTCTGTATCTCTTCGAGCTTTACGATTTACGCGATAAATCAAAATGAGCGCTGCAAAATATACCAGTGTTACAAAATATCACTGTTTAGTCATCGTATGTAACGATAGCTTTATAAATTCTTTACAAAATTTTGAGGATTATAAAAACAGTTTTTGTTATACTTAGTTTTTATAGAAAAAGTAATTGTTTGCGATTAACAAAATTTGTTACCTACACTGTTAAATTTACAGTGTAAAATTTAATCTAATAAATCGCCTGCGCTGGATCTTATTCAATATACGAGGAGCAGACTTTCAA